CGCCCTCCCAGCCCGGGGTGTGAGCCTCACAGCCAATGAGCGCCGCCCTAGCGGCTTTGACTCAGCCAATCGTCAAGGACGCTTTGTCTACAAACAAACTGGGAGAAAATCCTGTCAGGTGGTGGCTGATGCGTGGCGCGCTGGGAACCTGGGCCAACAAATAGTGCTGGCCATTGACTTAGATTTTTCAGTAACTGGATTTCCTGGTTAACTACTTGGAAATAACTGGGTATAACTGGGTCGACGCCTGGATTTCAGGCCTGCTTTTGCCTAGCGACAAAATTTCAAACCCAAACTTGCTTCGCACGAGACCTGCGGATGCAGAGTGGTGTTTCTGATTAGTCTGGATTTCCTCTTAGCACACAGGCCCATTGCCCCCATCCTTGTAGCCAACGGTGTGCGCTTCTAGATTTAAAAATGTAGAAATTAGTTTAAAGTGGAACCCAAATATAATTATGGATAAAGAAAGGTAGATCAAAAAGTAAGTTACTAAATAAACCTAAGGGGGTTGGGTACCCAACATAGTACATGATTTTATAATAAATTAGGCGGAAGAACTGGATATCCAAATTTACATTCGGATTTCCACGCCCAGCACTACTACCAACAAACCGCGGCACCGTAGTTCACAGGCAGTAGATCTAGATTCTATAGAGGCCGAGTAGTGTAGTGACTGCTTGCTTCACCGACCCCTGGCTACCAGATCTCTACTTCCCGTTGGCTTATTACGGCATCGGCGACCGCGGGTTCTACATAATAGGGCGCCTCTGCCCCCGCTGACAGTTTGTGTGATAGACAGCAGTGATAGTGCTGGCCTACACTACAAGTACAGATGCTGCTACTGTGTGAATAGTGTGAGCCCTGGACTTCTGTACTTACTACTCAAGTACCAACAACAGTGTATATTAATATTATCTAGTTCACGGTGTTGTTTATTCGGAAGTAAAGTTTGTGATTCTGGATTTAGGATGTGGATCTACTTGTGACGTTTTTGGGGTGATTTTTTTTTCTTTGCTGAAAAAAAAGTCCTCGTGTGCAGCGGAGTGTGTGTTTGTGTGTGTGCGCGCGCGTATATTTGAATAATAAGACGAAGCACAGGAGGAGTGTTAAGTTTGCCGTGGAAAGGTAACAGCTTTTGTAGTAGGCCCCTATCGGGTTTTGAATGATTGCGATGACGTTATTTGAAATCTTTCAAAGGAATCATGGAATGTTACGTGTCACGTATGATTTGGTGATATTTTTGTGGGGGGTTTAATCTGGCTGGCTTTAACGGAGGCTATGAATCTTCTTTTTTTTTTTATATATGTGGATGAAATCACGGCCTCTCTAGTCTAAGGCGTTTCGTTTAGGTTTTCAATTGCCTCATCGAGTTGGTGGATTTAAATCTACATTGTATAGATTTAGGTGGGGGGCACTGTTTCTTTTTCTTACGATGTTTTGTCATGAAGTTTTCCATGC